CTAAGGATCCTGCTGTCAAGCCTCCCCTAGTAAGCTGGGACTAAGCATGCAGCACCATGCCGGGTATTTTTTTTTTTTTTGAGACAGAGTCTCATTTGTTGCCAGGCTAGATGTGAGTGCCGTGCGTCAGCCTTGCTCACAGCAACCTCAAACTCCTGGCTAAGGCAATCCTGCTGCCTCAGCCTCCCAGTAGTGGAACTACAGGCGATGAGCCACCAGATGCCCGGCTAATTTTTTAGCAGGTATTACAGTTGCCATATTAATCTTTCTATTTTAGTAAGAGAACGGTCCGCTCTTGCTCAGGACTGGTTTGGAATCCTGACTTGAGCAATCGCCGCCTCGGCCTAAAGCTAGATTGTACAGGGTGGCCACCGCGCCGGCCTAATTTTTTCTAATATGATATTAGTCTGGCCAATTAATTTCTTTCTATTTATAGGTAGAGATGGCGTCTCGTCGTTGCTCAGGGTCGGTTTTGACTCCTGACTCGAGCAATCCGCCTCGTCCTCCAGAGTTGCTAGATTACAGCGGAAGATAATGTTATCTCGTTTCACAGGAGCTCTGTCTGTTAGAACGGTCCTGAACTTTGATGTTGTATGTGTGCCGCTTATCATTTTACTTGATCGTGGCTCCCTTGCCTGTCCCTGCACTTCACCTGGGTCTTCTCGCTCCACCTCGCCCCTGCAGAGCTAGGGAAGGTGCTTGGAGAACCGCGTGCTGTTCGTTTTAATACCTGTTCTCTGCCTACACCGCCAGGAGACCAGTGGGACCCCCACAGGCCCCGTTCCCACTACCGCGGGGACTATCCGGGCTCACTCAGCTCAAACGTAAAGGGCTGAGTGCAGTGCGCCCCCCGTCCCAGGTCACTTGACCTCTGCCTTTTCGCAGCTGCTGCACAGTGAAGGGCCTACCCGGGGATCACAGGACTCTCTATCCCAGTGGGAGCGTGCGTGCTGAAATCCCGCTGAGCTCTGCTTTGGGAAGCATTATCCCGTGGCCTTACTCTGCGAGGGGAGCGCCCCGATCCATCTTCCGGGGCTGCACTTGTGCCCACTGTCCTGTTTTCTCTCTGCCACTCTGGGCTTCCTATCAGACCAAGAAAATTGAAAGTCTGATTTGGGTCCAATCCAGCACACTGGGTGTCTCTCCAAACTACTGGAGACTCCCCCTCTCTTTTTTTTTTTTGAGACAGAGTCTTACTCTGTCGCCCAGGCTAGACTGCCGTGGCGTCAACCTCGCTCACAGCAACCTCCAACTCCTGGGCTCAAGCGATCCTCCTGCCTCAGCCTCCCTAGTGGCTGGGACTACAGGCATGTGCCATCATGCTCGGCTAATTTTTTTTTTCTATACATTTTTAGTTGTCTAGCTAATTTCTTTCTATTTTTAGTAGAGACGGGTCTCACTCTTGCTCAGGCTCGGTCTTGAACTCCTGACCTTGAGCCATCCTCCTGCCTTGGCCTCCCAGAGTGCTAGGATGACAGGCGTGAGCCACCACACCCAGCCTGGAGACTCTCTTTTTGAAACAGAACAACAGTATGGGGAGCCAGGCACTCGCCATGCCAGAAGGAAGCCGGCTGAGACGCCTTCTCAAAGATTGTGAGTCCTTCAGCTTTTCCCCAATGTCCCGCCAATAGCTTTTGTTTACAACACTGGCCATGCTTCTTGCTGGGGTCAGGAGAACAGTTAGATTTATTCTGTAGAAGGGAAGAAAAATAGGATGAGATCCCCTACGTGCTGTGTGTTTTGTTACTCTGGCAAAATAAGTCAATGGAGAAAAGGTGTAAGATTATGATTCAGTAGGTAATAACGGAAAAAAGCCTGTGCTGCCTGAATCCTGAGAAAAAGATGATAAATCCATACGGTTATTTTATCGTCACCGTAATTATCACTGTTACCGGGTTATCCGTGTCTGGGTTAGTCTATGCCACACCATAATGGTTCCCTGCTAGCCTTTGCTTAGACATCCTGAACACTTAGGCTTATCGAGGATGCTACCCTTTTGGGCTGTGACTTTAGCCACACTTTTATCCCTCCTTCTTTTGTCACACAGCCTAGAACGGCATGACAACACAGTTAATTAAACTATCCCAAAATAGTTTTAAGGGAAATCTGTCTGATTGTTGGATTTCTTGGCATCTTCCCAAATCCAACCAAGAAAAATATTTGCCATTGGTGACCCCTGTGACTGACTCTGTAGGTCCCTGACGTGACCACCCACTTAGATCTTCCTCTGTCCTTAACTACTTTTTAAGTTCAGTTGGTCACCCATCAGGGTACCCCTACCCCATATCCCTCCACTTGTCCCAACTCGTCAAGGTCCGCAGAGAACAGTGGTCCATGGGACCCCCTCAATCCTTAGCTTATTAGACTAACAAATGTAACCGGGATTGGATGGGGAATTGTCGGCTTTATGCCAACAGGTAACACACTTGAAATAACATGTAGATAGATTTTAGAAAGCTTATGAATATCATGACCCTTGGTTTGATTCTGTGCTGGCTAAGCTCTCTATAAATAAACCCATAAATGAATACACCCTCGGAGACATTACATGCACGGCCCTGGGATATACCTTTGTCTGTGGCATGGGGTCTGACCCTCCATCGCTGGGCTGGGCCCGCTGTTATATAGACAGCCTGTCACAGAGGCTCTCGCCTGCTAGCTCACTTCACAGCCCCTTTTACTACCTTCCCTAATAATCAGAGTCTCCACTCCCTGCCTGACAGACTTAAGAGAGGACTGCCAGGAGGATACCAGGACACCTGGTGGCAAAGCCTGCTGGGAATACTACCGTGTTTCCCCGAAAATAAGACCTACCCATAAAATAAGCCCTAGCAGGATTTCTAAGCATTTGTGCAATAGAAGGCCTACCCCGAAAATAAGACCTAGTGATGGGCGTGGCTACGCAGCGTTTCTGCACAACCCATGCATTTCATCGCATAGCGGTAAAGAAGACTAGCAGCCTTTCTCATCTGCCCCACGATAGCTCCGTTGCTCGACATGAGAGATTGGGGCCAATGGTTCTAAAGGAAATAGAATCACAAGAAATTCAGAATGGAATTCGGGGTTTGGAGAGTTATGATGATGTTCCAGAAGAAGACAATTTAACTATATTTGAATAAATGTAGATTCTTGTACCATACTTAAAAAAAAAAACACATCCCCTGAAAATAAGCCCTAGGGTGTCTTCTTGAGGAAAAATAAACATAAGACCCTGTCTTATTTTCGGGGAAACACGGTAGTCCCTATGTATAGACTGCAAGGGTCCTCAAACTTTTTAAACAGGGGGCCAGTTCACTGTCCCTCAGACCGTTGGAAAGTGTGCACTGTGGTCCCAGGACTAGTCAGCTGCTAAGCAGGACAGGCAGAGGCGGCAAAAACACCTGGAGGGCCAGATAAATGTCCTCAGCGGGCGGCATGTGGCCTGTGGGCTGTAGTTTGAGGACGCCTGATATATAGCGTATATGCCAATAGAGACACGATTAGAAGTCTGTCTGTCTGTGAGTCTAGGACTGATCACAGAAGAAACTACAAAAAGCCTTAGGGCTCAAAAAAGCTCCCTCAACTTGCTAGCTCAGGTAGTCCTAGATAATCAGGCGGTGCTAGACTTCCTGTGGGCTAAACAAGGGAGAGTCTGTACAGCGTTAAACACTACCTGCTGGGTCTATGTAAACATCTCAGAAGTTGAAACCCGAATAGAAAAAATTTCCCAACAAACTGTGTGGCTATTAACAGGTCTCTACTAGTGACCCCACACCTGATTGGTTTTGGGGATTATTCACTTGAATTCCCCAGAACTTCAGATCAGTTCTGCAGGGACCCCTGAAGCTGGGACTCTCACTCCTTATCCTAGGGCTTGTTATCTATTTTATAGGCCATTGTTCACTGACTACTGCACTAAGGCTGTAAATGAAAGTACTAATGTTCTCATCATGCAAATTTTAGATCTGAAACCCAGCACCTGTGAATACTTACAGACAACTCCAAAATGGTTTCATTCCTCTCACCCTGGCCTCAATCCCCAACTATGCCCCTTGTTCCCTTGGCAGAAAGAAGCCAGACTGGTCGTCTGCCCTTTTCCATCTCACTAGCCCACACCTCAGGGATGAGGTGGAATCAAGCCCAGGGGTGACTGAAACTGCCCTTTATAAATTAATAACGGGGTGCAAGGTGAGAACTGTGATAGGGCCCTAAACTCTACAAAGGCGCAGGCACACTTAATAATAATGATAATAACCAGCCATTGTCCCCTAGTTTGTTTGCCTATAATTGCTCCTCAGGAGTCACTTAGCTCATGGTCCTAAAGATTCTTAACTCTCTCCATAGATACTATCGCCTTGTGAAACCTAAGGCTAGCTTTAGAGATATCCTTCAGGCCCTGCATTCCAGCTGACCCACCCAGACCAGTGGCCCATAACAAGGAACTGACTCAACTAGTATTGCAACCCCTCCTCAAGAATCAACTCATCAAAGAGAATTTCTACACACCTATGAACCCGGCCAATCAGCAGACCCAATCGCCTAACCCTTTGCCCACCAAACTATCCTTAAAAACATTTACTCCCAAATTCTCAGGGAGACAGATTTGAGAAATTCTTCCCATCTCCTCACATGGTGCTCTGTGATAGCAACCTCTTTCTCTGCTGCAACTCTGGCTGTCTTGGTGTAATGGCTCTTCTCTGTGCAGCAGGCAACACAACCCTACTGGACTACAACACTACGGGGGAATGTCACCACGCCTACTTTACTGATGAAGAATCTGAAGCTCAGAGAAGGAAGAGCCTGCAGAAGTCACATAGGCAATAAGAGGCCTGGCCAGGACCCCATCACTCCATCCGGCCTCAGTAACATCATCATCCCTCCCCTGGGTCCTCTGAGGAGCTTCCACCAGCCCTTCCAGGCTGCTGCCTTCCCTGATCACTCAGACGGAGCCCATCCCATGCTCTCTGGCCCCAGCTCCGCCCCACAAACCCCACAAACCTCCGCCCCATTGTGGAGCTCACCGAGTTGGGGTGGTCTGGCTCTGTGATCACCCCCGAATAGAATCCTCCTATGTTGGGCACAGGGCTGGGTGGGAGGAGGAAAGTACAGATCTGGAACATGTGAGAAAGAGGGTACCTGGGGATGGTCATGTGGGAGCCACCTGGGGAACAGCCCAGGCCAGGAGAGGGGTGGGAAACAGCATTATCAGTCCCCAGAATGTGTCCAGGGGGTGCTGGGGGTAAGGCGAAAGGTTAGCAGGGCTCCCAGCTGGCAGCCCGTTTCCCTCCCTAAGCCACAGTTCTGCTCACTAACAAAACAGTGCCATGACATGTGGGGACCCCGGATTAACGACCCCATCCCCCTTTACCAGCCACACCCACTCTGGTCCATGCACCATCCTCCCCGATGGGCGGTCTCACCAGCCTCCTCCCTGCCGCACCCTGCAACTCCATTTCCCAGGCAGCAGCCTTGAAAGCCCACAGACCCCAACCTCAGTAGCCTGCTCGAAACCGTGCAGCTGGCTTCCTGACCCACTCAGAAGAAAACCCAGCCCCCTTTCCAGCACTTTCCCTGTGCAGACTTTCCCACCGGGGCTTCCCTGCCTCGTTCCCATCCTCCCCGGCTACCCAAGGAAGACCCCTGGACACCACTCAGGCTAACGCAGCCCCTGCGCTCCGATCGCACCACTCTCTCATTCGTTTGTACCGTCTAGCCTCCTTGCCTCCCTCCACTGCCTAGGGCGGGCCCGACACGCAGCAGGCGCTCCGCACACAGGTGTCGAAAGAATGAATAAAATAAAAGCGAAGGCCGGGGGAAGCGGGCGCTTTTTGTCCCCGGGCGGCTTCTGTAAGATTCTTTCATTTCCCCAACACCGAGTCCCCCAGGGTCGCGTCACAGCCACCACCCCGATCCAGCGGCGCCCGCTCCCCTCTCCGCGCGCGACGGGGCTCGGTGGCCGCCGCCGCTGCTCACCGAGTCTCCGCGGGCCACGTGAGGAAAGGGTGGGGTTCGCGGCTTGTCACCCCCGGCGCGACCGCGCACCCCTACCGGCCGCCGTACTCGCGCAGGCGCCGTGGCGCCTCCTCGTCTCGGCTTCCCTCAGCGCCCCCGGACGGCTCCTTGGGCAACGGAGGGTGACCGCGAACGCAAGTGAAGCCACCTGGTGCGCGCCGGAGGCATTTTTGCCGCCCTTTCCGGACGTCTCACTGTTGTCGCTGCCCCCGGGCCAGGGAAATTTTTCGCCTTGGGAGCGTCCGCCCAGAAGAAGTCGGCAGCGCGCCTGCGCGAGGGAGCGCGGCAGCGGCGGCCTGCGCCTGCGCACCTGGGCTCGGCGGCGGCTTGCGCCTGCGCGGCGCGGCGCTGCGGAGACCGTTGGCTCATTTGCATGTCCCCGCCTCGCGCGGCGGCGGCGGCGGCGGCGGCGGCGGCTGGTGAGGAGCCTGAGGTGGCGGCGGGGGCGGCTCCGCGCGCGGTGGGCTCGGGGTGAGGCCCGGGACCTGGCGTCGTCGGCGGGTGGGCCCTGGGGTGGGGGGCTCGGGCTCAGCCCCGGGGGGACCCGGGCTCGGTGATGGCGTCGCGGGCTCGACCCTCAGCCTGCGGCGACGGACGCGTCCCGGCCGGGCTGGCCTGAGGGGCGGGCTGCGGCCTCCAAGGCCCGGCGCCCCCATTTCTTCGTCCTGGGAGGCCGGGAGAAGGCGAGCCTCGTCCGCAGAGGGCTCGTCGGTTCACCGGTTCATTCATTCCGCCTCAGCCCCGAGCGGCCTCTGCTTTTGGGGTGATAACGGTGGCCGGGCGCCGCCTCGGGCCCTTGACCTCTTGGGAACTGGCCCAGTCCCCACAGCAGCCCCCACTGTTAGGGTCCCGTCCCTTAGGTGGGGAACAGAGGCGCAGGAAGGCTAGGTCATTTGATTTGAACCCGGGTCACCTGACTCGGAGACCCTGCCCTTCGCCAGCAGGGAACAAGGGGGCGCCCCGGGGAAAAGGGCCGAGGGGACTTCAGCCCTTGGGTGGGGGCGATGGTTATAGGGCATGGCTGTAAGGTGGGGACAGGCCTGCCTCTTGAAGTTGGAGGTGACGGGCCACCGGACTCCTCAGTGCTGCTGCTTAGTCTTTTCCTGCTCATTCTTTGGGGCTTTGTCTCCACTACCAAGCAAGCGCCCTGGCTGCCAGGTTCAAGTCCAGGCTGTCTGACCTTGGGTGGGTCGCTTATCCTGAGTCTCCCTTTTTCCTCCTTTGTATCATGTCACTCGCAGTAGGACCCTCCTCTTCTGGGGGGTTGCTTGCAAGAAGCGAAGCAGATCGTGCAAGGACCTAGTAGTGCGTGCCCAGTGAGCTCTGTCATTGGTCTGGGATTCCTCCACGCGCTGGTCGAGGGGCTTTTCTCAGGAGGGGAAGTAAGTTTTTAGAGCCTCTTTGCCCAGTCTGCGAAATGGGAAAAGAATTGATCGTGTCTTTCCTACCCTCCGTTGGCGAGCATCGCGCTCCTGCTCTTCCTCTGCTGTTACGCTGGGTTACCGTGTGTTGGCTCGGGATTGCTTTTGCAGAGCCTTTTTTTTTTAATGGATTCTGAGGACACAGACTCAGAGGTTTGTCTCGCTCCTTCTAAGCCAACACACCTGTGAACTTCATGCGGGCAGAGGCCCCCTTAAAAGAATCGGCTTGCCTCCAAGTACCATGCCAGGATATGGATTACTGCCTTGTTGCTTTGAGGACTAGGTGAAATAGAGTGATTGGGCTCTATTAGTGTGAGTTGTAATTCTTAGTGTGGGTTTTTTTTTGTTTTTTTCTTCTCTCTCTCTCTCTCTCTCTCACTACAGGTCAAAGAAACATGGCAGCAAGGCGAATTGCTCAGGAGACTTTTGATTCTGTATTACAAGAAAAAGCTAAGCGATATCACATAGACCCCAGTGGTGAGGCTGTAGGTGAAACTCTTCAGTTTAAAGCTCAAGGTAAAATTTTGTGGGGGGGAGGCTGTTTAGGGGCCAGAGCAGGACGATTTCAATACCTAGGCAAACTATGCAACTCCTCTTATCTTTACTTTCCTTATTTGTAATAAGGATTTTGTAGTAACGTTTTTTTCTGGGCCCACCTGTCTGTCACATCATGGTGTGGAATGTGGTATTGTCATTATCTGGAGCTTCTCCTACCCAGACATCCTCCATACCTAAAGAGAGGTTCTCTAATTGCTCTCCTGGCTCCATCCCGCCACTGCTGCCCAGGATTAAACTCTTACCAGTTCTCTCCTGGATTATTGCAACAATTTCCTCCTGCAGGGTCTCTCTGCTTCTGACTTCATTCCCCTCAAATCTGCCCTCCATATAGTTGCTCTCCATGTCTATTAGTGCCAACCTCACTGGGCCACTGCCCTTCTTGGATTCTTGGGGCTCCCCGTCGCAGGGTTACATCCTCAGATGAGTACGGGAGCAGCCAGGTCATAGCATATGTGCAAGACAGAAGGGCATGGGAAGCCTGTAGAGCTGCTGAGTGTAGGCACTGCCTGCAAACATTCTCTTTGGAAAGTTTTGACACACCATGCCAGCAGAGTCAAAAACAATGTCTACACAGATTGCAGGATGATGTGAAGGTCCCTCACCACCTGCCTTGGGCCTTACCTTTCAGTGCTACTGTGCTGCCTATTGTCTGTGCTTGGAATCCCTCCTGTCCTAGCTCTGCCTGGTTAATTCTCTCAGGTACCAAGACTCAGACTCACAGTACCTTTCCCTAGGAAGCCTCAGCATACCTTGAGGTTGATTTGATTGCACTTCCCCACTCCAGGGACGTACACTGCAACCATTCACTTCTCTGCCCTGGGCCTGCCTCCTCCATGCAGTGATGCTCCCAGCTGCACCAGCCATGGGGTAGAGATTTCCTCAGTGTTGGCTGAGTAAGTCTAAGTGTTTGGAGTAGGAGTAATAAACATACCTTGGACCTGGAGAAACCAAGGCTCAGAAGTTGTCTCTAGATTTTGAGTTTTCAAAAATTACCTGAATACTACATGAAAACATTCTTGTTATAAAAGATCAGAACAGGCCGGGCGTGGTGGCTCACGCCTGTAATCCTAGCTCTCTGGGAGGCCGAGGCGGGCGGATTGCTCGAGGTCAGGAGTTCAAAACCAGCCTGAGCAAGAGCGAACCCGTCTCTACTATAAATAGAAAGAAATTAATTGGCCAACTAATATATATACAAAAAATTAGCCGGGCATGGTGGCGCATGCCTGTAGTCCCAGCTACTTGGGAGGCTGAGGCAGAAGGATTGCTTGAGCCAGGAGATTGAGGTTGCTGTGAGCCAGGCTGACGCCATGGCACTCACTCTAGCCTAGGCAACAAAGCGAGACTCTGTCTCAAAAAAAATAAATAAATAAAAAATAAAAGATCAGAACAATAAGAAGTAAAGAGGAGGGCCGGATGCAGTGGTTCACACCTGTAATCCTAACACTCTGGGAGGCCGAGGCAGGCGGATCATTTGAGCTCAGGAGTTCAAGACCAGCCTGAGCAAGAGCGAGACCCCATCTCTACTAAAAATAGAAAGACATTAATTGACCAACTAAAAATACATAGGAAAAATTAGCCGGGCATGGTGGCGCATGCCTGTAGTCCCAGCTACTCAGGAGGCTGAGGCAGGAGGATCATTTGAGCCCGGGAGATTGAGGTTGCTGTGAGCTAGCTGACGCCACAGCACTCTAGCCCAGCCAACAAAGCGAGACTCTGTCTCCAAAAAAAAAAAAAAAAGAAGAAGTAAATGCCTGTAATCCTAGCACTCTGGGAATCCCAGGCAGGTGGATCATTTGAGCTCAGCAGTTAAGAGGAAATTAAAAGTTCTCTTAACTGCTTTCTTATTCCTCAGGTAACTATATGTGGTGTTTTGTGCATTTTTCAGTTCTTTTATGATGCATTTATGTAATTTGGAATACTTAGGTATTTATGTAGATGAAGATTTAAGTCTTGGTTTAACTTTACCTAGAGTCTCAAGAGGAAACATATCTTAGTTACCTCAAGAAAGATTAGGGGGAAAGAATGAGAGACTAGAAACCTAGCAGGAAGCTAGGTGGTTGTAGAACATCTCTTTGTCACAAAGCTACATGGTTTATTGGTCAGCCTTTTTCTGTGTCTGTTCCACTCTGAACTTTCCCTTTTCCTCTTAAATCAGGGTATTGGAAAATTCTGTTGTGCAGAATCCAGCCAATACTCTGTCTCTAATGCTCCCACCCTAATTATACCATCAGTACCAATAATCAATACCTGCATTGTCACAGTGGATTCCTTGCTGGAACATCCACATCCACTCCTTCCCTGCAATCTGTTCCCTACACTGTAACCAGTGAAGTCTTTCCTCTGCTCAGAACCCTTCAGTGGCTTTCTATCTGACCCAGAATGTGCAGTAGAATTGTCCAAGGGCCAGGACAAGAGGGTTTCAATACCTATTTGAAATCCTGATGTCCAGGTCACTCCCTATCCTAATTAATTCAATAAGGTCTGGGGAGAGGGTCCCCTGAGGCTTCAGTAGCAGAGTTTGGGAACCACCTTCCTACCATTTTGCCTCTCCTTCCTTCTGTTCCCTTCTGGCCACATTGGCCACCTACTGGTCCTACTTCAGGGCCTTGTCCTCATGTCCTGTCTGCCTGGATGGTCTGGCCCCCACATCAGGCTGCTGCTGCCCTATTGTCAGAGCTACTGTCCTTGACCACTCTGTCTAAAAATGGCATCAGCTGGGTGCAGTGGTATATGCCAGCTACAGGAGGCTGACACAGGAAGATCACTTGAGCCCAGGAGTTCGAGGTTGTAGTGTGCTATGATCATGCTTGTCAATAGTCACTGTACACTACCTAGCCTGGGCAACACAGTGAGACTCTGTCTCTCTAAAAGATAAAAAATGGCATTCACATTTCTACCTGCTCAAATTTTTTTCTTGGCACTTACTTGCACCTGATATATTTTTTTTTTTTGAGACAGAGTCTCGCTTGTTGCCAGGCTATAGTGAGTGCCGTGGCGTCAGCCTAGCTCACAGCAACCTCAAACTCCTGGGCTCAAGTAATCCTTCTGCCTCAGCCTCCCAAGTAGCTGGGACTACAGGCATGCGCCACCATGCCCGGCTAATTTTATATATATATATTAGTTGGCCAATTAATTTATTTCTATTTATAGTAGAGATGGGGTCTCGCTCTTGCTCAGGCTGGTTTTGAACTCCTGACCTCGAGGAATCCACCCGCCTCGGCCACACCTGATATATTTTTATGTCTGGCTCCCTCAACTGAGAAGTCTGGGAGCGGTCTCCTTTCCTTGCAGTAATTTCATTGCCTAGTGTCTAAAGTTGCCCAACAAAGTACATGCTCAATAAATACTTGTTGAAGAAATGAACTTGCATTTGCACAGAACTTTGGCTTCCTTTGACCTCTTAGCCCATTACTACCTTCTGGCACCTCTATTTCCCTTTTCATTTGATTTTTTAAAACTGGGTCATAGATGCTGATTCAAAAGCTAGAAAGGTAGAAGGGCACTCCAAGAGAAGTCTCCCTGAGGCCTACGGTTCCCATAGGCTCATACTTCAGTTCTGTTCCTAGCTTCTTACAGTGTTTCTATATGTAAATGAGCAAATGCAAGTACGTTTCCCCTTTTCTACACCAATGACAAAAGTAGACACTGTTCAATTTTCATCATGGCCTCTCTTGATATGGCTTATTTAGCTCCTGCCTTCCCGGGTCTCTGTTTTTTCAGCTCCAGAGAGGAGATTGATTAGCCTGGCAGACCTTGTTAAGGGATTGATTCAGCCAGCTTTGCGTCCAGTGTTGTGGGTACTGTCAGCCGTGGCTCCAGCCTTATGGTGGCACTGTGGGTGGGGAGTTGAAGGTGACAGCCTGCATAAAACCTGTCTGCTGTGAGATAGAAGTAGAAACACAGAAGCATTCCAGTTGCAGTAAAGTCCAGGTTATTTGGGGACCAAACACCCTTCCCTCAGTCTAAAAAGGGGATTATAAGCCAGGTGCAGTGGCTCACACCTATAATCCCACCACTTTGGGAAGCCAAGGTAAGGATCACTTGAGGCCAGGAATTCAGTATCAGACTGGGCAACATAGTGAAACTCCATCTCTACAAAAAATAACAAAATAATTAGCCAGGCATGTTGGTGCACGCTTGTAGTCCCAGCTACTCGGGAGGCTGAGACAAGAGGATTATTTGAGCCCAGGAGTTTGAGGCTGCTGTGAACTATGATTGTGCCACTGCCCTCCAGCCTGGGCTACAGTGAGACCCTGTCTCTTAAAAAATGAAAAGAATTGTAAATTCAGATGGCTGTAAAGTCAGGGTAGGGGATCTGAACAGGTGAGGGACACTGGTGACAAGTTGGAGAGTCCATGTCTCACCTTGTGGGGCAGCATTGCCCAGCTTGGGTGGACTGTCAATCAGGGCAAAGGTAGGCCCAGTGCTTATAATTCTGCTTGTTTTTCTTTTTTTTTTTTTTTTTAAGAGGAGCTCAAATGATCGTCTGCTTCTGATTCCTAAGTAGCTGGGACACCAGGCACGTGCCACCACGTGCAACCACTGACTTAAAGTACCTATTATGTTTTTGTTTTTTTTTTCGGATTGTTTATTTCAGATCTCTTAGGGGTGGTCCCAAGATCCAGAGCAGATATGTATGACGACGTTCATGGTGACAGCAGATACTCCCTCAGCGCATCTGCAGCTCACTCTTGAGACACGGGGAGAGAAAGCTTGATTTATTTTAAAATTTTTTATAGAGATGGGGGGCTTTGCTATGTTGCCCAGGCTGGTCTCTAAATCCTGGCCTCAAATGATTCTCCCACCTCCACCTCCCAGAGTGCTGGGATTATAGGTGTGAGCCACTGTGCCTGTCTAGTCTTCAGTTTTAATAAGAAGTCAATCCAGATTTTTAAGTGACACAACACACATTTTAAATGTTGGCGACAAATACGAAAAGTACTTTAATACTTTGTTGATACTTTGTTAATACAAAAAGTACTCAGGCATATAAAGCTGGTGGTTCATGGACCAGCTGTTTGCAACCACTGATTTAAAGTACCTTTTATGTTCTTTTTTTTTTTTTTTTTTTTTTGGATCATTTATTTCAGATCTCTTAAAGGTGGTCCCAAGATCCAGAGCAGATATGTATGATGACGTTCATGGCGACAGCAGATACTCGCTCAGCGGATCTGTAGCTCACTCTCGAGACACGGGGAGAGAAAGCTTGAGAGGTGATGTGTTTCCAGGGCCTTCCTTCAGATCGAGCAACCCTTCCATCAGCGATGACAACTACTTTCACAAAGAATGTAGCCGGGATCTAGAATTTTCCCACCCTGACTCCCGGGAGCAGGTTATTGGCCACCGAAAATTGGGACATTTCCGTTCTCAGGACTGGAAGTTTGCGCTCCGTGGCTCTTGGGAGCAAGACTTTGGCCAGTCAGTTTCTCAAGAGTCCTCTTGGTCACAGGAATATAGCTTTGGTCCCTCTGCAGTACTGGGGGACTTTGGCTCCTCCAGGCTGATTGAGAAAGAGTGTTTGGAGAAGGAGAGTCGGGACTATGACATGGACCATCCAGGGGAGGGTGACTCTGTGCTCAGGGGCAGTGGTCAGGTCCCGGCCAGAGGCCGCGCTCTGAACATCGTTGATCAGGAAGGTGCTCTCCTGGGAAAGGGGGAGACTCAGGGCCTGCTCACAGCTAAGGGTGGCGTCGGGAAACTTGTCACGCTGAGAAGTGTGAGCACAAAAAAAGTCCCTGCTATAAATCGTATCACTCCCAAAACTCAGGGCACTAACCAAATCCAGAAAACCACCCCAAGTCCTGATGTGACCCTGGGGACAAATCCAGGGACAGAAGACATCCAATTTCCCATTCAGAGGATCCCTTTGGGGCTGGATCTGAAGAATCTTCGGCTCCCCAGAAGAAAGATGAGCTTTGACCTCATAGATAAGTCTGATGTTTTTTCAAGATTTGGTATAGAAATAATCAAATGGGCAGGATTTCATACCATAAAAGATGATGTTAAATTTTCCCAGCTTTTCCAGACTCTCTTTGAACTTGAAACTGAAACTTGTGCTAAAATGCTTGCCTCATTCAAATGCTCCTTAAAACCAGAGCACAGAGATTTTTGCTTTTTTACTATCAAATTTTTAAAGCACTCTGCTTTGAAAACACCCAGAGTTGATAATGAATTTTTAAACATGCTTCTAGACAAAGGTGCTGTGAAGACCAAAAATTGCTTTTTTGAAATCATAAAGCCCTTTGATAAGTATATAATGAGACTTCAAGACCGTCTTCTGAAGAGTGTCACTCCTCTGCTCATGGCCTGCAATGCCTATGAGCTGAGTGTCAAGATGAAGACCCTCAGTAACCCCTTGGACTTGGCTGTTGCCCTGGAGACCACCAATTCTCTCTGTCGGAAGTCTTTGGCCCTTTTGGGACAGACATTCTCCTTGGCCTCTTCATTCAGGCAAGAGAAAATCTTGGAAGCCGTTGGCCTCCAAGATATAGCTCCCTCTCCTGCCGCTTTTCCAAACTTTGAGGACTCTACTTTGTTTGGTAGAGAGTACATAGATCACCTGAAGGCCTGGCTGGTCAGCAGCGGGTATCCCCTCCAGGTCAAGAAAGCTGAACCAGGGCCCACGCGAGAGGAAGCGAAAACAATTCCTCCTATGAAACTAGAAATTCAGGCCAAGACTCTGAGTGGTCTGAGTGAAGGTAAGGAAAGCAGCAAAAGTTTCTATTTGTTGTTTTTCGTGTTTTTTGGTAATGTCTCCTATTTGAGATTTTTTTACATGGAAGTTGTTTAGCCAATTGGGAACAAATTAGGATTTTAGTAGAAAACTTACATTGGCTAATATGTATGTCTGCCATTCATTTTGTGAGCGTATATTAGGAATCTTGTTTACCACAGAAGTCTTTAGACACTTGGAAGTTATAGACCCCTTAGGGAATCTGATGGAAAGCTGTGTGGCCTTTGCCAGGAAAAACGCACATATACTTTTCTAGATTGGCTAAAGTCGACAGATCACTTAGATACACTTTGTGGACTTTCTGGAGAAGAGAAAAGGCCAAGGAAGAGGAATAGAAACAATGGGCCATTAGGTTTCCCTTTTCCCTCCCCCTTAGCTCCCAGAATGGATGCTCTCACAGCCCAGACATCCCAGAGCTCATGAGCACACAGTAGCCATGTTCTGTCTGTTACTCCCTCGATTTCCCCAAGCATGGTTTTTAGTTTGCCCCCAGCCCAGTGGGGAAGTCTCATTTATCCCTAACTTTCTTGGCTCATTCACCACCCTCATGGAACCCAGACTACACCAGGCACTGGATAGGTCCCACTGCATATGAGTGGGACACGTCCTCCCAGAAAGGGTTCCTTCCATGGCCAGGCGTGGTGACTCACACCTGTAATCTGACTTTGGGGGCGAAGGGTGGATTGCTTGAGGTCAGAAGTTCAAAACCAGCCTGAGCTCACGCCTGTAACCCTAGCACTTTGGGAGCGCGGGCGGATTGCTCAAGGTCAGGAGTTCGAAACCAGCCTGGGAGACCGTTCTACCAAAATAAGAAATAATTGAATTGCCAACTAAATAATATATACAAAAATGGAGCGGGCTCGTGTGGCGCTGCCTGTGTCCCAGCTACTCGGGGCTGGAGGCAGTAGTCGCTGGCCCCGGGCATTGGTTGCTGTGAGCGGCTGAGCACGGCATCCACTAATAGCCTGGGAACCGGTGAGATCTGTCTCACAAAAAAAAAAAACAGCCTGAGCCAAAGCGAGACTGTCTCTACTATAAACAGAACATATTGGAAATAATAATATATATATTGTTGTCCAAAATTAGCAGGCATGGTGGTACCTGTAGTCCCAGCTATTTGGAGGCGAGCAGTAGGATCGTTGAGCCCAGGAGTTTGAGGTGTGCTGTGAGCGAGTCGGCATCATTAGCCTGGGAACCAAAGGCAAGACTCTTATCTCAAAAAAAAAAAGAAAAGAAAGGGTTGCTTCCAGAAGCAGGCTCAGGGCTTCAGGGCCCTCCTCCCGCACCCTGCAAAGTGACAGGGTATACTGAAGAATGTTGAATGAAGGAGGAAAATGTCACCCCTAACCTAAAGTGGCTCCCCACCCTCCCACAATCTTGTGATGTTCCTGCAGCTCCTGGTGTGCTAGACTGAAAATGCTACCGTCTGTTCTTTTAGATGATTGTCCAGCATCCCTCTTCTGTGTTCCTACAGCATTTGCTACATCACGATAGTGTCCTAAAATAAATTACCTCACCTTTCCCTTGATGTTGGACTCATGCTGCCTTTTCCTAGAGGGTTCTGAAGCCAAACAGCTGGGTTCACATGTAACTGGCATCTGCAGGTCTTGGCTCTGTGTCTGGGTAGCAGCTGACAGGGCCCACATCTCATGGCGCTGTCTCCCTCCCCCCACCACTGCTGCCTTCCTGTTGGAAACGCTGGGACGAGGGCTTTGGTTGAGTGTATTGGTTATTGCCGATAGTTTTATTTTTTCTTTTATAATTCTCCTTTAAAGGATATATCCTCAGGAATAGAATTGCTGGGCCAAAGCTGTGACCCATTTTCTGATCCTTACTTTTGGTCATCTTAGCTAGAGATGACCAAATTTGAAGGGATCCCCAAATTTCATTATCTTGGAAAGCTTCTGACTTTGAACCTTTGATTCTTTTGTATAATTGTGTAAAACTAGCAAGTCTATAAAAAGAGGCCCAAGGGAAAAAAATGGCAATTTCATAGGGCACATACTTGTAATAACATGACAGTCGAAGGATTGACTTTCCCTGTGTCCGGAGCTCACATTGGTTTTTAAAATAAGCTCAATGCTGCAACCCAGACATAGGCCAGGACAGGATCATGCAGTCATTCACAGAACAAACGGGAGACTCTCTTCACTTCAACAGAGTCTCTTCAATGATAATTTTAATTGAGTGACTGAACAAATAGACCATTCTGTGCTATTAAAACTAGCAAATATCAGGAAACTAAATAATCTTATCACTTGAGGAAACAAGCTCTTCTGTGTTGCTGGTAATATAAATTTAAACAGTCCTATTGGAGGGATTTCACACTTAAAAAATATTTATCTTTATATGTATTCAACAGATATTTTCTGTGAACACCTAACTTGGGACTATTGGCTTTTTTTTTAATTAAAAATATTTTGGTAAATTTATAGATAATTTCCTCTTTTTCTTTGGAGATAGGGTCTTGCTCTGTCACTTGGGCTGGAGTTGCAGTGGACACCCAAGTAGCTAGGACTACAGGTGTGCATTAGCACACCCAGCTAATTTTTGTTTATTTTTTTTGGACAGACAGGGTCTTGCTCTTGCTCAGGCTGGTCTCAAACTCCTGGCCTCAAGCAATCCTCCTACCTCAGCCTCCCAAAGCACTAGAATTACAAGCATGAGCCATTCATTGTGCCTGGCATATATATATATTTTCTGATTATAAAACACATGTGTGTTTATTTTTTAAAGATAAAGCACAAAGAAAATGAAATCCATGATTAAATCTATCTCCTATAGATAAACTCTGTTACCATTATGGTATATGTTCTTCTAATTTTTTTTCTATGTGTCCATATTTATATATCTTGTATTCCCACCTTTATATTAGAATAATAGTTCAGATACTTTTTAAATGTATTTATATCTAGATAAATTTTTTTTTTGAGACAGAGTATCACTGTTGCCCAGGCTAGCGTGCCGTGGTGTAAGTCTAGCTCATATATATATTTTTTTTTAGTTGTCCAGCTAATTTCTTTCTATTTTTTTTTTTTTTAGAAGAGATGGGGTCTTACTGTTGCTCAAGCTGATCTCGAACTCCTTACCTTGAGTGATCTTACCGCCTCGGCCTCCCAGAGCGCTAGGAATACAGGCATGAGCCACCAGGCCTGGCCTAGATACATTTTATATCTTTATATTTTCCTCTTTAATACTATGAACATTCAGGTTATTATATACAGTAATACGTGAAAATGATATAACGTTGCTATTTATCATTTCCTTTTCTAGAATATATACATAAATTGTTCTGCCAGTTATCATAAGCTGTGACTGTTTGTCCTGTGGTCGTGCCGTTATGTTTTTTAGGAAGAGATTTTGCATATTGATTTCTAGAATAAAATACCGTTTTCCTCTTTTCAACATGAGTGTCTTGTGAATGAGGTTTCAGCTGTCCGTGCCTGGTTGGGTTCAATGCTGAGCCCTCAACTCACTGTTCTGGTCTTTCCAGGACGCAAGGTTGGCATGATTCTCAGTAAAGCTGTTCTGTGTGTTCCAGCAGTCCCCCAGCGAGCGGATCACAAGGTGGTGGACACCATTGATCAGCTTGTTACACGTGTCGTCAAAGGCAGCCTGTCTCCCAAAGAGAGAGCTGTTCTCAAGGAGGACCCTGCTTACTGGTAGGTCTTTAAGTGTCCAATCCACAACCCTGCCCCCCTCCCAGAGCAAGTGGGGAAGTGTGGGTTGCACTGATGCTGTGGAGAGCAGAGGATGGGATTTTGGGTAGTAGTGTCTTCTGGCAGGAAGAACAAAAGAGTGGGTCAGATTTACCTGGGTTCAGGTCAGTCTTTTCTTTGTATGTGTTCAGCAGATATTTTCTTTTCTTTTTTATTTTAGCGTATTATGGGGGTACAAGTGTTAAGGTTACTTATATTGCCCATGCCCCCTTCCCCCTCAGCAGATATTTTCTGTGAACACCTAACTTGAGACTATAGACCTTTTTTTTTTTTTAATTAGAATTTTTTTTTTGTTAATTTCTATAAATTTCCATAAATTCCTGCTGCAGACCAGTGGCAGGCCAGCTGGGTGGGTGGCCTTCTCTCTTCTGTGAATACATCTCAAAAGTCCCTGCCGTGCTATTTCAAGGTGCAATGAAATGTGCATGCAAAGAGCAGGGAGTAAGAGGAATAAGATAAATAATGCATCATAGCCGTAGTTTGCCATTTATTTCTAATATTGTTAAACTGTTGTCTTTTGCTTTACTACCTCTTCCTGTGAATAGAGCAACTTTTTAAAATCACTGTTCACATCCTAAATGTAGTACTTGATTATTAGAGCACGTAAAGAACAGAAAGTAAAGGAACTCTCCTGTTTGCTGATGTCCGCTGATATTTTCATGTGTTTGCTTCCAGTCTTTCTGGTGACCGTGAACTGTTTGGGTTTTTTCCCTTTTTTAGAGATAGAGTCTTGCTCTGTTACCCAGGCTGGAGGGCAGTGGTAAGATCATAGCTCACTGCAGCCTTGAACTCCTGGGCTTAAGGGATCCTCTCCCCTTAGCCATCTGAGTAGCTGGGACTACAGGTGCACACCGCCATGCCCAGCTAATTTTAACAATTTTTTGTAGGGATGGGGTTTTGCTATATTCCCCGGGCTGGTTTTGATCTTCTGGCCTTAAGCAATCCTCCTGCCTTGGCCTCCCAAAGTACAAGGATTACAGGCATGAGACACTGCGCTCAGCCTGGTTTTTGCTTTTAACACAGTTGTGATTATACTGTGATATGAAAGATCCTATTCTTTATAGTAATGTGAGGAAATGCTTGTATTACCTACTCTTTGTAAATGTTATTTTAGACAGCCACAAACACTAGTCCATAGGGTAGGAGGTCAGTTTACTTAGCCATTCCTCTCTTGCTAGGCTTTTAGAATGTTTTTAATTGTATGCTGTTTTAAACTGCATCGGTAAATAGCTTAATGCATCACATTTTATTACGTTTAGGGTTATCTCTAGATTAGATGGTTAGCAGTGGAAAATTAAAAATTTAACTGTTTTAAATTATAAAAGTGCCCTTTGTAAAGTGCAGTCACTTGGAGCCTTGCCACTTTCCCCCACAGCGTGTACTTTAGAGTTGTGTCCTGTGACTGTCATTTATCATAATTGTCCTTATCATCAATGGTTGCATAAAGATTCCATTGCACCCAGATGCCATATCTTAGCCATTGCCCATTGGTACATTCCTAGTTCATATCCAGTTTTCCCCACTATAAATCACATTATGATGATCAATGTTCTGCTTGTATTTCTGTCTACATTTCTGGTGGTTTGTTAGTCCCAGATATTATTATCCCAGATATTATTTGGGATATTCTATTAATATCCCAGATATTATTATTAATAATATCTGGGATTGAAATTGCTGGGTTAAAGCTCTTATTAGAGGCTTTTGATCTGCATCAGTATTTCTCAGCTGCAGCATTATTGACATTTGGGACTGGATCACTGTCTGTCATGGCATAGTTGTCCTGGACATAGGCTGTGTAGCAGCATCCCTGGCCTCCATCCATCAGATGTCAGGAGACTCCTCTACTTGTAACAACCCAAAATGCCTCCAGACATTGCCTGATGTCCCCTTGGGGACTCAGAGTTGCCTCCAGTGGGACAATTGATATATATATATATTTTTTTTTTAGAGACCAAGTCTCACTTTGTTGCCCCAGCTAGAGTGCGGTGTCATCATCATAGCTCACTGCAACCTCAAACTCCTGGGCTCACCCCTTGCTTCATTATCCCAAGGTGCTGGGACTATAGGCACACACCACCATGACCAGCTAATTTTTCTATCTTTTTGTAGACACAAGGGTCTTGCTCAGGCTGGTCTTAAACTCCTGACCTCAAGTGATCCTCCTACCTCATCCTCCCAAAGTGCTATAATTACATGCATGAGCCACCACACTTGCCCAAGACCATTGATCTTTACCATCAGATATTTTCCATAGGTAATTTGTATTGATTGACACTCTTGATGCCACTTGGCAGGTTCAAAGTTGTACCCATACTGGACTCAGTATTCTTGCTGTTACAATTAGTAAAGATGCTTTAAAGGCATTAATATCTATCTAAAAGTAGCAGAGCTTTGGTCCTATCCAGTGTGATTTACCAAGGGGAGGGTTAGAGTTTGTTATGGTTTTATATTTATAAAATTCTTGAGTTTATCTGGATTATTTTCATGTATTAAATGAGGTAGACATATAACTTAAAAGTTAAAAATCCCCCAGATAACATAATTGTACCAGCATCATTTATTGAATATTTTTAACAAATACTTACGCTTGTGTACTTGGTAGTTTTCTAAGCATGTTACTCATTTAAGCCCTAGCTGGCTGAATCCTCATAAATTACATAGCAGGGGAATGCTACCAAAAAGAAAGAAGGTAGAGAAATATTGGTTCAGGCCAGGTGTGGTGGCTCACGCCTGTAAGCCTAGAACTCTGGAAGGCTGAGGTGAGAGGATTGCTTGAGCTCAGGAGTTTAAGACTGGCCTGAATAAGAATGAGACTCCATCTCTACTAAAAATAGAGAAATTCACAAGGCATGGTGGTATGTACCTGTAGTCCCAGATACTCAGGAGGCTGAGACAGGAGGATCACTTGAGCCCAGGAGTTTGAGGTTGTAGTGAGCTACGATGATGCCACGGCTCTCTAGCCAGGTCAACAGAGTGAGACTCTGTCTCAAAAAAAAGAAAAAATTAGTTCCGACAAAATAGACATCAAGGAGAAAAGCATTAAAATGGACAAAAGAGAAAGTCATCACAAACATAAATAATGAATCTTGATGCTTGAACTACACAGCTTAGAACTATGTAGACAAACAACATTTAGAAACAGTTTAGCCTTTTCCGGTAGTGGATTTATGCGGTGAGGATCTTTAGTCCACGCCCAAGGTAACCATGCCGTCCAAGGGCCCGTTGCAGTCCATGCAGGTCTTCAGACGCAAGAAAACGGCCACAGCCGTGGCGCACTGCAAACGCAGCAATGGCCTCATCAAGGTGAACGGGCGGCCCCTGGAGATGATTGAGCCGCGCACACTGCAATACAAGCTACTGGAACCTGTTCTGCTCCTGGGCAAGGAGCGGTTCGCTGGTGTGGACATCCATGTCCGTGTGAAGGGTGGTGGTCATGTGGCCCAGATTTATGCTATCCGTCAGTCCATCTCCAAAGCCCTGGTGGCCTATTACCAAAAATATGTGGATGAGGCTTCCAAGAAGGAGATCAAAGACATCCTCACCCAGTATGGTTGGACCCTGCTGGTAGCTGACCCCCGTCGCTGCGAATCCAAAAAGTTTGGAGGCCCTGGTGCCCGTGCTCGCTACCAGAAATCTTACCGATAAGCCCATCACGAGGATTAGGGTTTACCTGTGTAATAAAAATGGTAGTAGGATTTTAAGGTTTTTTTTTTTTTTAAAAAAGAAACAGTTTAAATCCAAAACCATACAAAGAATGGATGAGTCCGTTACCACAGTAGGAGATGTGAATGTTTCTCTGGAATGAGTAGATGATGTAATCCAAATAAGGCCGTGGAGGATTTAATGACACAGTGAAAGAACATAAACAGAGATAACCTGCTAATATTTGTTGAACATTTAATGACTGCTAGGAAGTGTTCAGAGCATTTGCCTCATGGTAAAAGCATATCACTCAAGTCTCACAACAACATGATGAAGTGGCTGCTTATCCGCCTCCCCATCTTACAGATGGAGAAACTGAGGCACAGGCAGGTTCGCAGCTTAAGTGGCTATGCTGAGATTTGCACCCAGCAGGCTGGCTTGTGAGTGTTCTTAGGATCTACTAGAACTTGGGGACACAGATTTGAGGCTGACATTCTCATACTGTATTTAGCATCAGAGCCATCCAGGGGAAAGGAAATCCATCAGAGACATGGGTGACTGGGGTTGTGAGGTCACCTGGCACTGACTCTGCTCTCTGCCCTTGATGAGAAGTTTGCTGGCCCTAGCTAGGCCTGCATTTGACTTGAGAACCAGAGCACCAATGTTGGTCATCATTCTCTTAACCAGGAACTGTTGCTTGTTCGGGTGCAATCCTGCAGGAGACTGCTGTAGTCTGACAGAGTGGCCAGGGCAGCTGTGGAGCCAGCTGCATCCTGTTTTCTCAGGTCCAGCCAGATCTTGACAATGTCAGCAGGAGCTTTAGTACGGAACTGCCTGCCAGGAACACCAGCAGCACATAGTGCTGCCAGCACCCTGCAACACATGGCCCTCCCTTCCATTCGGCTTCCGTGTCATTCGTAATCTGGAAGCTCATCTAATACCTAATGTGTGGTCACTTAACATCAGCAACCTGAAATACTGCCGTACCCACCAAATAATATTCCTTCTTCTTTAACACAAACTGAAATTGAGCATTCACAAAAGTCTGTTATGTGTGAGAACACAGAGAAAATCATAGCACATCCCCAATTGGGGCCACATTGTGCAATGCAACAAACTAGAGACCAGCAACAACCAAAATAAAAGGTGCTTCTATTAATAACTTTTGAGTGAAAGGTAATTAGAGCTGAAATTAGACACAATTTAGAGGGAAGTAGCAGGGAGAACACTACATACCAGATGTCTCTGTAACAGTACTTAGGAGGAAAAGTGAGTTAGGTACATTTATTAGAAATAGAATGGAGGTAAAAGGCATTCAATTCATGAAGCTAGAAGGAAAACCATTACAAAAGTTCAAAGACACAAGAAGGGGAAGGATTAACAGATAAAAGAAGATGCTAATGAAATTAAAAACAAAGTATTGTTTTTTGAGAAAAAAAATGCATACACATATATAAATAACATGAAAATCCCTGTCCACACCCCTTTCTATTCCATTCTCCACAGCTAATTATTAAGTTTGCCTATTTTCTTTCAGTCTATGTAAAAAAGCAAATATACCTGGAGTGAGTATGTACACAGAGCAGTTTCAGGTGATACATATAGATGTAGGTCTCCTCACTGGCCATTTTCTCTGGCTATAGTATAGACTTTTTACGTTAGGAGATACAGCTCAACCTTCCCTTTTCTGTATGGTTCTCATCATGACGACTCTGTCATAAGATTTCATGCCTGGGCACAGGCTCCTCAGTTACCATTCTCTTATGGGTCCCCTCGCACTTGCCTCAACGAAGCAGTTGAAAGCTCACCGAGTGCTCCGCCTGACGGGGCCGTTGGAAGGGCGTCATTTCTGCGTGCCAGCGTGCTGTGGCTCCGGGGTGGCTGGTTTGTGTTACGAGGTGACCACGAGCTGAGCTGTGCGCTCTCTCATGGCTGCTACTGACGGAAATCAGGGAGGAACTCGAGTACTGCTCGGTCAGAGCTCCTGATTGCACTGCAGCCTCTCTCGGCAGGTGGGCGTTCTGGGTCCCCAGTGGGTAGCAGAGGACGGTGGGGAGGCCGCCACTTAGAACGGCGGTGTGATTGCAGCAATGATTTGGTACATGATAGTAATTTTCATAAATGTCCTGTTATACCTATTTTGTCACATAGGTTTTTGTCTGATGAAAATAGTCTGGAGTATAAATATTACAAGCTGAAGTTGGCAGAAACGCAGCGCATAAGCCAGAACTTGCCAGGAGCCGATCGAAAGCCAACCTCAGCAGAGTGTGCCGTGCGGGCCATGCTGTACGCCCGGGCAGTCCGCAGCCTCAAGAAGAGGCTGCTTCCGTGGCAGCGCCGGGGTCTCCTCCGTGCGCAAGGTCTCCGGGGGTGGAAGGCAAGGAGAACGAGCATTGGGACCCAGACCCCCTTGTCCTTGGGCACAAGGCTGAAGCACCACAGCCGGCAGGCTCCAGGCCCCTTGCAGGCAAAGCCGTCACTGCCAGACAGAAACGAAGCTGTGAAGGATTGCCCACCAGACCCTGCCGCCGGACCCTCTCCTTGTGACCCCACCCCAGAAGCCTCAGGCCCATCCCCCAAGCCAGCAGGAGTGGACATCTCTGAAGCCCCTCGAACCTCCTCTCCCTGCCCATCTGCTGACGGTGGGTGCTCACTCCTGCCCCCCTTCTCTGGGCCCCATTCCCAACTCTCCCATGTGCAGGGTCTCTTCAGAAGCCGGGGGCTCAGCAGTCTGGGCGAGGCAGCAGCTACAGAGACCTGGCCAGGACAGGTGCATGTAGAGGCACTTTCTCGTGCGTGAAGCTGGCATGAGGTGCTGCCCATGGCCTCTGTGTTCCCCAACAGGGTCCTGGTGCTGGGGCAGTCGTGCCTTGTGCCTGTGCTTGGGAACCCATGTCTCACCGTGGCTTTGCCTCCCTTGACATTTCTCAGGTTCTACCTCCTCTTCTCCAAGGTCTCTTCAGGGTTGGTTGGCCTGCACCGCTTCTTCTGAGCTGACTTAACCCCTTCTGTTTCTCCTGGTCACTTAGCCATTACCTTCCCTCCGTATAGTAGGCCTGACCTCTGACCAGCCCTTCCCACTCAGCACTAGGTGGGAATGGAGACGGCAAAGAAATCTCTAGAGTGGCTACATTCTCTAGCTATTGGTATGTCACAGGCCACTCCAAGCTGAGGCTTAAAATAGGTGTCTGGTACTGCTCTGCGTCTGCTGACAGTGGGGCATCTGCAGATCTGGGCCGCACACGTGTCTGTGGGCAGCGGCAGGTTCTCTGGGTCTGTCAGCTGAGGTAACGGGTGGCTGAGCCGTGACCCTGTCTCCACCCACAGCAGCCAGCCCCAGGTTGTTCACCTGCTGGTCGGGGTTGGGACTCCAGAAAAGGCAGTCGAGATGCTTGAGGCCACTGAGGCCCAGGCTTGGAACTGGCAACTGGCACTTCCACCACATTGTATAGCCAATTCGAGTTCCACAGCCAGCCTGATTCAGGGGGGACAGAGTCCACCTCTTGCTGGACAGAGCTACAGTCACATGTGATGGGGGAGGCTGCGGGGCGGGAGGTGGGAGGACATTCGGGCCCATCTCCGTAATCAGCCTCCACAGCCCCACAACGTTCGTGCAGGAAGCAGCAGCTCAGAAGTGATGCATGACGATGCTTTATGTTTTGTAGTTGACATGAAAACAATGGAGACTGCGGAGAAACTGGCCAGATTTGTTGCTCAGGTGGGACCAGAGATAGAACAATTCAGCATAGAAAACAGCATCGATAACCCCGAACTGTGGTACGTACCCCCGGGTCTCATCACACCCTTTCAATTTGAGTGTGTTCACCCCACAGGCGCGTCCTGAGAGACTGCAGGGTGGCCTGGCCCATGCACTTCTGCCTCGGGAGGACACCAGGGATTAGTCACAGCTGAGCCAAGGCTGTGAGACAGAAGCGTCTGTTCTGAGGGACCAGGGGGACCTGCCCTCATCTGGGGCATCAGGAAAAGCCTCCCTGGAGGGACATTTCATCTGCATCCAAAGGCCCAGTCACAGTTGTCCAGGGGAAGAAAATGAGATGAGGCTTCACTGCTCCAGTGGCAATAATCGGTCCTTGCCTAGGTCTAGACAACAGGCACTTCCACACAGTGGTGGCGTGGCGTCCTCATGCTGGGAGGGGACACCCTTGCCCTTCCCACTCCTCCAGTGAGTGGAGGGCGTCAGCATGTAGACTGTAGACAAGAGAACCGAGGCGGGGAGCCAGCTCTGTCCCTGGGGTTCTTCCCAAGGGTGACGTGGAGGCGCCCCTCAGAGAGAGGCTGCCTGGGGCCATGTGTTCTATTGCTGAGCCATAACCCTGCTGGGGGCCTCTGAACTCCTTGTGCTGTTCCCAACTTGCTGGAGAGTGGTGCTTTAGTCCAAAGTATAGTTGAAAACTTACGTTTCTCAGAGCATTTATGGGAAATGATGGGACATACCCTTCCGCTTATTTGGGACCTGACTGCGTGAGCTGAGCACTGTCCTCTGTGGCCACCCCAGTGTGTGTGTTTGGGGGCTGGGCAGGGGTCCTCACTGTGGCCTTCATCTGTGTTTCTCAGCGGTCTAATAGCGCTGAGCATCTGCATGTGTTTGTGTGCTTTCTGTATTTCTTTAGTGAAGTGTCTAGTCAGGTCTTTCTCAGAGTTTATTACATATTCTCGATACAAGTCCTTTGTAGATGTGTGATTTATAGATATTTCCTCCCAGCCTGTGACTTCTCATTCTAGCAAAGTCTTTCGGAAGACAAAAGTTCATAATCTTTGACCTTTTCTCTATTGTGTTTTTGGACTTTTTCTTTCTTGTTTTTTAGGAGCTCTTATCTGTGACGTGGTTGCCTATATTTCTTTCCACTTTGTCGTTTATCTTTCACTTTGCTTTTGGTGTGGTTTTTTTTTTTTTTTTCTTTTAAACTTACTTGTCCAGCTAATTTCTTTCTATTTTTTTTAGTAGAGATGGGGTCTCGCTCTTGCTCAGGCTAGTCTTGAACTCCT